CTCCTAAAGAACACTTCAATAATCGTTTCCTTCTCTCTCCTGCGAAATTCATTAGATAAGTATGCAATAATAGCATCAGGAAGAAATATTTCATGTAATATTTGAGCTACTTTTCTTGCAAAAAATGACCAATGACAAAAAAGGTATTTCATTATTTTGAATATATTTTACAATATTTACTTCTCCACTCATGAATAACATAGTGTACTCTATCACTGGGTCCTGTATTAGCAACGGAAACTGAATCAGCCTGTATTTACAAATAGATTTCATACCCTCTTTTACTATTCCCAGTGCATGTATTTATTTCCCTATTTTCTTTTCAAGTTGGCAATTTATAGTATTCCATCTTGCAAAAAGTTATTGAAAATTTCTAAGAGTTCAAAAACTAAAGTATTCCATTGTCATGTTGAGGTTAAGATAACGTATTAAAGTCTCTAGAACTCACATAGTGCAGTACGGTGGGGTGTCCTGTTGCACGGGTTACGATGGATATATCAATAACGAAAAAATGAAAAATTCAAAGTAAATTGACAATAATTTTAATAACTTTTAGAATCGTCCCAAATTGTTTAAATAACAGTAATGTCATTGTATTTTGTAATACCACAGTAATATTGCGAAGAAAATTTCATAGGAAAATTTTCTCTCTCAAGTAATCAAACAAGGCTTTTTGATAATGCAAGGATGCAAGGGTTAAGACTTTTGATAATGCAACATCTTAGCACCTACTTATTGTCTGAAAAGTTAAGTATCAACATAGACTAATCAGTTTTGGAATTTGGAGAAACGTGCTGATGTTTCTTTTCTACCATATCAGCAAACACACTATTTTAGCTGGAGCGCGTAATTGAGACTAACAAGTGAGCTTCATCCGCCTTCCCAAGAGGGAAACCCGAATAGCAGAGCAAACTTCGCAGAGGATGCGCCCTTGCTTCCGGCGCGTGCGTACCTATACTAGCATTATACCCAAGTTGGCGGGCTCAAACCCGATCGAAGCCGTGGATTTGTAAGGGCGAAAAAATCCTTCGTACGCTTTCCTTCGGAGGGGAAGTAAAGCCGGCTGTCCCATATCAGTAGATTTACTTGTATGTAAACGATCCTCAAGCCTAAATTACGCCTCTGAGCTAAACTCAAATCGTCTGTTTGTCGCCCAAGAAATACCTCCTTTCTCTGCTAGTTAGTGAGAGGAGCGTGGCGAAATTTGCGTGGTCAGACGGAAGAGCGGGCCTGATAGCCCGAGACTCACCACGTGAAATAAGGCATTAATTCAATTCAATACCTCGTGCGGAGGCGCTGCGCTCGCTGGGTGGCAGGTGCGCCTGGCGCTGGGGATGGACGCCTTCGCGCCCTCGACGGCGCGCGGCTCCCGGCGGGCGTCGCGCCTGTCGACCTCGCGCCGCTACCCCGTCAAGGTGGCCGTGCAGACGCTCTCCGCGCACATCGTCTACCCGCAGGTGACTCCCCCCCCACACACACACACAAGAAATGCATGCCAACTCTCACCCATGCCCCACACATAACGACTTCATAAAGAAATGCATCATTTGGCACAACACTAAGACTGATTGGTTGGAATTTTCGGGCGCGTCAACGGCGTGTCGACTGCTACGTTAATGAGCCTGCGTTGATGGTGTAGTGAATATTTTTATCGCGGGAGGTGGCGGAGATGGTGATATCCGGCGCCGCCCAACACGTCTGCTTGCATGGTTTTCCCCAACCAGTTATCGCGCACCAGCGTGGCTCAGCCCCAGTCGGTACAATCACTAAGCTCCCAACCGGTTTCCCGTTAAGTGTAGAGGAGCTGTGAATGTAAGAGTAAGTAGGAGGGAAGATGGGGCAAGGAAGAGAATGGGAAGATCGCGCGCATCCCTTGCCCCGTGTGTTACGGTACTGCTCCGGCGTTCGCTTGCTGTTGATCGGAGAAACCTCGGAAACCTACCGATCAGAGCAGCTGGACGCTAGAATCTTCCTCCAGACAGCGTCGGAATTTGACCTAGCTATTTAGCTAGAGATTGAAATAATCCCACATTTGGGACTCGAACACGAAGACCTCCCAGTTAGTGGTAGTGCGGTGACAACAATTGTTGGGGTAGTTGTTGACAGCCTAAATTACTCCACAATTTTGCAACAGTATTTCATCTATACCTCAACTATTCCACTACAGGCTACGTAAAACTTTCAGAAACAATACCAGATATTAAATATGTATTTCCCATAGGAGATTTTTACATACAATTTCCTATGGATAATTTCTTTTCTTTGCTTAAAGGTTCTTATTTCCCTGATAAAAAGCTTTAAAATAAGGAATAGTTTACTATTTTAAAATACATAATTAACATAAAACATCTACGAAAGAGTTTATTTTATTAAACTAAATCATGTGAATTTGCAGCATGAAAAAATATTTAAAAAACCGCAAGTGAGGAGCCTGTTACGGCAACTAGTCTTATGTTACCCATTTTGTGTATGTTTAGTTATAATTGATGATTAGAATTGTATAGTCTTGTGTCTAGAAGCAGCAACACAGTGAAAAAATGCAACTTTTCTACAAGGATATATTTATTCTACAACCCCAAAATTAGGTACCATAAGAATAAACGGTACGAAACGATAAATGGTACGTAATAATTTTAAATCAATTATTTTATATTTTTTGTGCTTCGCTTTCTGTAAAATGTTTCTTTATCGTATGCATCTTTTCAGGCAAAGAACACTTGACAACTTATAAATAGTGAACGGAAGTACTTGTTCCCATGCCAGATAATATTGATAACAATATACCTAATTTGTCAATGAAAAGAACAATCATTTTACATCAATGGAAAATTTATTAACATCATATCACAGCATACGACGATTCTATATCTAAATCAAAATCTTCTGGTAGAAACACAAAAAAATAAAAACAAAATTCAATCAATATAGGTCATAAGAACATCAAACTGTTGCAATATAGATAAAAGCAATTATAAAATAAATAACTTACAACAACTTACAACACTTGGTTATGAGGGAAATATGAAAACAGTTCAATGATGCTACATTTTCTCATCTGGAGGAAATTCTGAAAGGGATTTGTGGGAGGGAAATATGAAAAGACAAACCAAGTCAAGTTAACAACTGGTTCATTAGTAGATAAATAAATCTAAATCATGTGTGTACCACGACTGTTAACTGGTTCTAATGATCTTTGGCCAAAGGCCTTCGCGCTTTTTGACGCCGCTGGATCATTAGAACTCTTAAGGTCTCTTCACACGGCGCCACTCCACGGCGCTTCTGAGTGGCGAGTCCGTTGGAAAACCATGGGTTTAAATGAAGGTATTCACGCGATCGGCGTAGTGCCCTGGTGTGGTGACTCCCGCCAGCAGCAGTGCAGACGCGTGACTGCGCCACCGCTAGGAGAACACAATTCAAAATGGCATCGTTTACACGAGACGCGCTATGGAACCTGTCTGCCTGCTGCGAGCCTCCTCGGCCCCCGGAGCCCACTCACGAAACCTTGCTCTCTCGCGGTTGGTGGCGGTCGGTGGTGGCTGCGTGTGAATGAGTTTACCATTTCTCGGTGGCGCCACCGAGTGGCTCCGTATGAAAGCACCATTTATGGTGTGGTATCGTGGTAGCGAAATGAAGTCACAGACACGAGCTTTATTGGCAAGTCTGTTTGTTTATAAACTATTTAGTACAACTATGTACATTTCCGGGGTTATATTCGCTCACAACCTCCATTACTCCCGCGGTCAGGCGGAAGAGCAGGCTAAATGACCTGAGACTCACCATCAATAAAGACTATTTATTTATTTATTTATTTATTTATTCATTTATTCATTTATTTATTTATTTATTTATTTATTTATTTTATTTAATTGTATTAATTTATTTATTTCTTTATTTATTTAATTTATTTATTTATGTATTTATTTATTTATTTATTTATTTATTTATTTATTTATTTATTTATTTATTATTTTATATAGTTTTCTAACGGCGTTAGTGTAAACGAAGGGAGGGTACTCTGACTGTGGTCGGTTTTTTATTGAGATTTAACTGACAAAACACGGTCAAAACGTGGCAATGTGATTTAACAAAGCGTTAATAATTTGACTGGATAATTACAAAATTATACGTATAATTATATGGACGTGAATAAATTATATTTAACGAAAACTCTATTTAAGTTATTTTTCACATTTAGTCACTTTGATCTGCAGAAAGTTTAATTTATGGATATCTGAAAATTATTACAGATTTTTATTATGAGTTTTCATTCAAAAATGAAATATCAGACACGTAGAAACATCGATGTTAAAAGAATATCACCTTCAAAACATCAATGTTAAATCCGTGGATGATTTTTTAAAAACATGGAAACATGTTTTGAAAATATCGATATCGATGTCGCATCTCTAGTTCCCATACGGCTGCCAGCCTTACGTTCTGCCTGACGTTCCAACGCATGTTTGTCTGTGTGTGCGTGTTTGTGCGTGTGTGAGCGTGTATGTGCGTGTGTGTGCGTGTGCGCGCGTGCGTGTGCGTGTATGTGCGTGTGTGCGTGCGTGTGTGCGCGTGCGAGTGAGTGTGTGGGCGCGCGCGCGTGTGTGCACGTGTGTGCGCGCGTGTGTATGCGCGTGTGCGCGCGCGCGTGTGTGTGAGTTTGTATGTGTGCGTGTGTGCGCGCGCGTGTGTGCGCGTGTGATTGTATGCGTGCGCGCGTGTGCGCAGATCGTGGCGGAGCCGGAGGCGCTGCGCTTCCAGCGGGTGCCGGCGGGCACGCGCGAGGTGCGCGAGCTGGTGCTGAGCAACGCGGGCACGGCGGAGGCGTCGGTGGGGCTGGACGCCGAGGCGTCGGCGCTGAGCAGCGGCGAGTGGGCGCTGTCGCTGCGCGAGGACTGCCCCGAGCCCGCGCCGCTGCCGCTGCTGATGCTGCCCCGCGGCCCGCCGCTGCGCCTCTTCCTGCACTTCTGCCCGCTCGACCTGGCCACCTACGCCTTCGTGCTGCCGCTCACCCTCAACGACCACCTGGGGCCTCCGGAGATGGGCGACAACGTCAAGGGCGTGCGCAGGGGCCGCGCCGGCTCCATCGTGTCGGGCCTTTCCTCCAGGAGCAGGTGCAGCACAGCGTGGCGTACAGATGCGTGCTATTAGTGCACTTCTTACACAAATATGTTGCTGGAAAGAAAAGAACAAAACATACATTGACAGTGAACACAACTGCACCGCTTGGAAGGGGGGGGGGGCAAAACCCAATCGCGCATTGTACACTAATACTGAAGTTTGAGATCGAGTTGGTCCAGTTAGAGTCGGTCAAAAACACAATTTCGATCGTTCTCGGAGACGAGACTAGAGTGCCGGGACTATGTTGGAGAATGAAAGCTCGGCCATTATCGAGAAGGAACGATATCGATATTGGGCTACGGGTGCACCCTCCGAGACTACGGCGAGCATATACACAACCATGGACAACGAAACATCAAGTCACTTGTTCTCTGCAGACCTTTTATTGCACAGCGTTTCTATCGACTACTTAAAATGCAATATTTATTCCAATGGGAGTGAAATATGTGAACAATGGTAACTGAATTACGTGTACAAAATAGTTTCAAATGCTATTCTACGACGAAAATGTATTCAAAATTCAATCGCAAAAGCCAAGTTGCAATCCTGTTTTAGAACAATTCCAATAATTATTGTAAACTATTATAAATAGTAATGATACGAAACTTTTCAGTAAAGCTTACTCATTAACACATCAATTATTAAGCATGTGCTGCATTTCCGTTGTCGAACACTTTAAATACATTTATCTCGTATCTTCAACGTTAGTTTCTCACCCCGTACGTACATAATTTAGAAAGAAAAGAAAACCGCAAAGCTGAAGCAAAAAGTGGAATATTGCGAGTTTCTGCTACCGAAAAAGTAGATAATTCATGCTACTATACGTAGTAAATTAGTTTCTCTAATACGGATGGCAACTGTAATTTTGAGCTGTAGTAATAGGTTTATTTATCAAACTTTTATGCACGTGGCATGTCTGACCTGGTTATTTCATAGTATTTCATTTAACACCTAGCGCTAAAATTCTCTATTATCTAATATTCTTTCCTTATCCCTCCCCCTGCATGCATGGCCATTACTTTTCTTTAAACCTTAATTACGAAATCATTAATTCAATACAAAACTTGATCTTCATACATTTATTGAGTTTAACATGTCACCTTTTACTTTTCCGTATACGTACGTATATTATTTTATTTTTTTATTTAATAGGTAAAAATTACAGACAAATTAGCATACGTGATCCTATGTGGCTAGGCCGAAGGCCTTTAAGCCATTACAATACCTACATCCTTTCGCGTTCTAATGCTTCAATTCTGTATTATTCACCCCACATGGTCCCTCATCGCATCAAAGCCCCGGAAAGAGACCATAAGGTACGGCTCAGGAAAAAAACCCAGAAGGGGGAAAATCTGCCATGAGAAGCCGAGTACATTCTAATATATCCGACGTTTATTTTAGCTATTTTTTTTTTGGCGCGGCGTCCGCGTCTCCTTCCAGTGCTTGGCCTCCTCAGCACCTGAAATCAAACAGCGCCACAGAAGAATTGTCCGCACCAACGCCCTCTGCCTTATATTTTCGATCTCCCTTACCTCCCCCCCTAATGTGCTTATTACTATGCAGTTTTATTTATTTATTATATTAACCTTTTACTTACCAATTAAACTATGCCTTAATGACTTATTCTTAACTGTTTACTAACTTAACATAAAATACTGATTAAACTTACTACTGTTAGCTTATTGACTTATTTATTTCTCTCCAGTCTAGGCTCCGCTCAAGCTAACCGTGCTGTTTTCCCACTCCCTAATTTCAGTTTCCTAATGGTCCGACCTTTCCTAAAAATGTTCCTAATTCTTTCATGAATTTAGACCTTTTATCACCTAAAATGTTTTGGGCGAGCGTTACGTTCCTGTTAGAAAGTAGTAATTTCCATTCCCATCCATTTTTTTTCTCCATGTTTCGGTTGCACAGCAAATTAAGAGGATGTGGATCCAGTCTTCCCTATCACCGCAAAGCACGGATGCCATTACCACTTGCGTCCTTTAGTCTACGCTGCATCATCCCCACCCTGAACCAAGCGTATCGCCTCTTGCGTCCTTTCCGAGAGTATGTCATGTAACTTTCGCAACCCATAACGGACTCGCATGAATTTGAGCTACTAGCGAAACGTTTTTCAGCCGTTGCTGCCCAGATCTCTTGCTTTTAATATCCGCACGTACGTATACTTTAATTACGTACGTATATAAAGAGATTATACGTAGATAGGGATAGTTATGTAATGCTTCAGAATCGATTTCGATATTTCAATGAATATACAGTTTTGGAGTTCCTTTGATAGTTTTTTTAATGCCTGTCGTCTGTCTATGTAATCTGTATTAAATTATTTTCTTCCTCGTAAGAGAGCGCATGAAGCTTACCACAAGGGAAACATGGCGAAATTACCAAGAAATGGCTAGAGCGCCCACCGCCAATACCAATAAAGGAAATACGGCTTCGCTCAGCGCTGGCAATGCCACTGCCGACAACAGCTGAGAATAAGCGGTTCCGACAGCACCGATAGTTCCTATCCTTGGCGAAATCCTGCGTTAAGATCCACAAGCAGATAAGTAGCGCGCAGACCGTCGACACCGCGATAGCAGCCAGCGAGATCGACCGGTATGAGAAAGCGTTTTGTCCCGCTCTATGTGTAGTAGTTGTGGTGGGATTGTGGATGTGCTGAGATGTCCGTAGCTACTGAGAAGATTGCTGGACTTGAACCCGTTTCCACGCTAAAGTATATCGATCTTTCTGACTAGTAATTACGAAGATTACTCACGTAAAACAGATAAAAGAAATTTCGGAATTTATGAAATTTGCTTTCTGTCCTATACAATATTAAAACAAGTATAAAATATCTTTATTTCCTGAAGCCGACAAGTTTGATCTCAATGCTATGTTGTACGCTCCAAGTATATATTTGTTTTAATAAATAACTACAGAATTTGAGCAAAATATGGATTTTTTAACCCTTAACGAAGGAGAGTAATCGTGGATTGTCGGATACGTTAGAAAATAATAGAGGTATGTGCTCTAAAAACTAAACTATTTACTTTCTTTCAGACTGAAAATTTCTACAAGTGCAAGAAATTTGTGCAAATGAAACTAATTTTAAAAAAAAATCAGAATCAAATCGTGCTTTAGAATTATTATAAACGAAGCTTTACTGAAAGAGTGTTCTTAATAGTATCTGCAGCATCAACGGCAAAACTTAATTAAAGACACGTGTAAGGACAGCTTCGAAAGGAATCCAAGGTTGCAAAGGTGGAGTCCCGGATGGATTGTTGCCCGTTTTCGTGGCGTCGGGCTTGTCATTGGGATCCTTTCCACCCCGCAGGCTCCCAACTCAACTCATCTCCCAGCGCGTTTCATCACAGTAATGATGGAACGTGTCGTAAAAACTAAATGTTTCAAAAATATTGTTGGGTGTTTCTCAAAAATATTAATGCAGTTGACGGCGAGCTAGAAGGGGGTCCTCTTTGCGAAATGTGAGATAGAATATTTTTTTTATTTTTATATTATTATTAGTAATAAAACCTTGCGTTTTAACCTGCAAATACTTCAGAAAAAGTTTTGGTAGCCAAAAAACCACTCAAGTTTACCTTAGTAAGAATTAAAACAGTAGTATTTAATTACTTTTTATTTATAATGACCTTAAGAATTCAAAATTACAATAGAGACGCCATGAGTCATTTTGGGCAACTTCAGACTGTTACTATTTGCTTGAGAGAAATAATTAAAAATGCAAATTTGTAGAAAATTTATTAACTTAAAAATTGTATATAACTATTTTTGCACTAATATCAACCATTAAAAAGTTATTACTAAAAAACAAAAAAAAAACGAAATGCTTTTTGATATTTTGGCTACCAAAATTTTTCCCGAAGTATTTCGAGGTGGAAAACTTTGAGTTTTCTCAATAATAACAATATAGACGAAATTAAAAAACAAAATCTTCTACCTCATCTTTTACAAGACAAAATTACTTATCGTATGCACTATATCTAATAACCTCGATTCTACGACACGCCCATGGACTACAGAAATCTACAGGGTGATTCAGTCCTCGTTGCTGATACAAGATCAAGTGATAGAGTACACTAAGTTAGTCGTGTATGAAAAAGAAAATAGTGTGAATCATAAACAAAATATTGGCAAAAATAAGTTTTTAATTGATAATTTTTTGCAAATAGGTAGCCCAAATATGACAATAAATATCATTTCCTATTGTTATTATATACTTGTTAAATGAATATGAAAAGATGAAAAACAATTCTATAAATTTGATTTAGGAAATTAATTATAATTTTCATAGTCAAAATTTCGATTTCTCCTCGTGTAACAGGGGTTCTACAAGAGTTTAAAAAGACCTACTCTTGCGTGAACGCAAGGCATACATGACTCACGGCATCCGTGACGCGCACAATTCTGCTGGATTAAGAATTGTTCTTTTATTTCTGCCTCCACGCTTTCAATGCCCCGAAAATCCATCACTTTGATCTACGTTCGTAGCATAAACGTAATCTTTCATTAACCCCGAGACAAAAATCTCAGAGAATTCAAATTTGGAAATCAAGGAAGCCATGCTGTTGGGCCCCATCGTCCGATCCTCATCTCGGGAAATTGCATATCTTGGTATTCCTGAACACCGTGATCATTATGTGGGGCTGCACCATTATGCTCATAACGCATCTGAGCCCGCACATTCAACAGGTTTCGTTCTCCAAAAGTTAAAAATCCAGATACTGAACCCTCTCAAACACCCAGGAAAGAAGTGAGGATCGGTGATAAATTCATCCACAATGCTAATCAACACAATCATACCGAACCACTCTTAAAGAGCTCAGGTACGTGCAACATGTGAGTTTTTCTCGACCCACAAATGCGAATTATGCGCATTAATCATTCTAGTTCTTTTAAAACATGCCTTCATGTCCAAAGATTTCAGAAAATCCTGATTTACCTTGCATTTGCGCAGGAAATGCCCCCAGAATTCAGATCGACGTTGCAAGTCCGGACTGCGCCAATGCTGCACTCGTTGGAATGGTCCACATGAAGTGTTCGTTAGGTGACGG